ATATTAAAAATTTATAAAAAACGTTCACTGGCTATATAAAGTTAAAACTTTCAGAGCTTTCGGCTGTCGGACTACAGCCTTCGATGGATAAAAAATGGAAAAGATAGCAACTACAAATATATACAAAAATAAGTGGGACTATAAAGAAAAGAATTCCCACCTATTTTTGTATATATTTGTAGTTGTTATCTTTTCCATTTTTTATCCATCGAAGGCTGTAGTCCGACAGCCGAAAGCTCTGAAAGTTTTAACTTTATATAGCCAGTGAACGTTTTTTATAAATTTTTAATATGTTTTGTCCTGGCTACGGTTCTTCTATTTTTAATTGTATGAATATGTTTGTAAAACTGGCTGCCTGCCTGCCTTTATTTCAGGTAGCAAGACCGCCTCTCTCTTTTTTAAATAAGTTATACATAAATATCTGTATTTGGACCGAATGGTGGAAATAACTAAAGCTTGTAGTTCTTGTTGTAATCAGGTAGTCAGCATGAACGCAAAGTGCAATTTTGGACTTCATCATTCTTTCAAGATCTCATAAGGATTGAATTTTAAAAAGTACCGTTAACATCTCATTTTAACTATCTAAATTGAGCGCTGTGTACAGCTATCTCACCTCCCAGGGCAGGACAGTACGCTGCCCAGGCACCGACCACACCCTGTTGCACATACTGACCAAGTGCGACTTCAAGGTAGAAGATGGGGATTCCACAGAACACCAGGCAGATCACATAAGGGATCAGAAACGAAGCTGTAAGGGAAAGGCAAAGTAACATCGAAAAAGTTAAAAAATGTTTCATTCTGGTAATGTTTTGCATAGCTTGAGGAGTCGATAATGAAATGATTCGCCAGAGGCGTCAGAACAAAACAAAACGAAACAAAACAAACAAACAAACAAACAAACAAACAAACAAAACAAACAAACAAACACAAAAACGAATGTCAGTTACCACATTGCGGGATGTTACAAATTACCCCACCCCGCCCATTTGACTCGAAAACGTGCTCGAGTATCAGTCTATGAAAATTGTTTGCTCCTCGGAACCCACAGTTTCCCTCGAGCTTTGCTCTTGGAAACTGCTCCCTTTTCGTAACAGGTAAAGTCCACGGCCAAGTATCCCTACATCATGATTTTCGCGCCAAATACTCTTTTACATCAGGTAACTCTTCAGTTGAGGAAACCTTTTCTAAGTATAGTATTTATACTTATTTAGCCTTTAATTATACTGGATTTTTCTTTTCCTGTGTTAAAGTAATTCCGTAGAAGTTTTAGAAGTATCGCTAGTTGCTCAAAATATTCACTCGCTATTCGTTTTAACGAGTTCGAATTTAGTTCGGATGACAGCTGATCATGCCCAAAATCTCTCGGAATGCCATACTCGAAATTTATCATCTGATATTGTACTTTTTTTTTCGGGCAATTTTCGTCAGTGAGTATTTTAAGTCATTTGAAGGAAGTACTATATTTGAGTGTGCAAATGATAAATTATCTTCAAATCTATTTCTGTCGTAGTTAGTCATAGTTTGTTGCTAAATGAAATAAACTAATAGTTATGACATTTCACGATATTTGAACTTGACTTAAAAGAAAACAAAGAAATATCAAGGAAAACAAGGGGGCTATTGAAATCGCCCATTGAACCCCTCTTCCATTCTGTCACTTTAGAAAAACAATAGCCAAACCCAATGCAGATTGAACAGCTCGTCGCTGCCGGCTTTTCTCAGAGCAATCATTTTCAAATGACAAATTCCTTTGTTTTATCCAAAAGTGGCATAAGCAAAGAAATGAATGGTTCTTTGTAAAGATAAATTGTAAAGAGACGTTGTTTAGTACAAAGATTTAAATAACAAAAGGCGCTGTCTTAATTTTGAATTGACACACTATTGCACAACACAACTTGCACTGAACCGTGACTTAATCAAATTATTCGCAAGAGTTAAAATATTCTCCCGTTCAAACACTGGCGAAAAATAATATTGTGAGATCAAAATGGCAGCTTATTCAACATGACAATAGAAATACGTCGTTCTGCTTTGTTTGTTCTAAGTCCAACATGCCTTGTAAGTTATGAGACTGGATTTTCAATAATTCCACCGGCGTTAAAAATAAACACGACTATTTTAAAATTGTTTGAGGCGACACCCGTTTTAAAAAGCACCAAGTAGGTGATAAAAGTTTTCTGTTAATGTCATAGAGTTAAAAACCTCTAGTAGCGAAGTTTGCGCAACAAAGTGCGCAATCGAACTGCAGAGCTTTGCGAAGTCTTTTTCACAGCGAGCATTAATAAAATTATGAAAGGTTTCCACTTTGGTCTAGTGGATTAACGGCAGGTCTGTGAATAATGCATCATACACGACTTTGAGCAGTGATTCCGCCACCACAGATTTATGCGGTGCCGGTCTTATTTGAAGTAGTATGCAAATTAGAAGTCGCCTGCGGTTCACGTCGTATTTGTATTTTCTGCAATAAGCCTAATGCTTTTGTCACATAGTCTTTGATCCTACAGGGAGAAGACAGAATCTTTTGAAAATAACGAGCATGTTTTTCACGCTACCTGTTTATTTTCTCCCAAGACGGGAGACAAAACCGTTCAAATGATTGGATTGGATGTCCAACAGGCATATATCAAATCTAGTCACGCTAACATTCCAGCGCGCAGATTAAATCTGCGTTGTATACGAAAAATAAGAAGTGGATTGTCCATAAACTCTTCCTGTTGAAGTAACAACTCAGTTTTTTCCCGACTACACCACTGAGAAATAGTAATTTCAAAGTCTAAAAAGTTGCCAAGTAGCTGTGAAGTACCCTTTTTTTTATGCAAACTTGAACTTGTTGTCTCTGGTATTACGTGATCTAATTTTCAAGACAAGACATTCATTTACCTCCACCGTTACTAAAGCAAAGATAAGGGAATCGCCAGACATTTCCCAAGCCGACAGCGTATCCAATGCAGGAGAGGAGAAAGTCAAGTTTACGGCCCCATTTCTCACGTTCTTCTACTTCCACCTCGGGTTTGCCGGTAGGCACAAAGCTTGCCTTACTTTCCCTAACTTCTGAATCGGCAAGTCCAGCTCGACTGTCATAGCCGACCGGGTACAATTCGACGCCTTTTGTCGCCATCCTGAACCCTTCTGATGTTCGATTTGCCGCTGTCTTCGACGCTACAAAGCGTTGTTCGTTTTGGTGGGCTGATATTGTGGCTGACTGAGTTCCAATCTCTCGTGTTCAGAAAACTGCATAGTAATTTGAGCGCCAAACAAAAGGCCGCATAGTAGAGTCATTATCAGTCACATTCCATTCATATTATTACGAAATGCGAGTCTCCCTTAGTGAAAATGGCTTAGTTCTTGTTACTTCACATCGCTTTTTAAGTGCGTTTTATTAGAACTGCTGTAGCTATGTTTATTACAAAATTTCATTTTCTATCAATGAAAATATTTGGAAATTTCATGGTGTAATATTTACACAAAGACTGACCAATTCAAAACTCCCTCGAGCACCCTCTTTCACCGGGTATTTGAACTTTGAAGGTCTGGTTGTTCAAGTTCCCGTGTCCTAAGCCAAAATTAGTTGATTAATTGGACTCTAGGGACATTATGGCGCCATAAGTCACTTTGCCCTGTTTTCCAGAGTGCAAGAAAAAAAAAAATAAAAAAAATGAATAAAGATATAACACCACCCACTCGAACATGGCCTGGGTCGAACTTCTGGCTGACTGTCTCTGGAAGTATTGTTTCTGTAATTTGTATTACTAAAATACAAAATTGCTTTGAATTTCACAAGCAAAGCTACGCATTTACCTTCAAACAGCTCTCAAAGCTTTAGTTTTATTTTGAGCGACATGTTTTATTTTGTATTATCACAAGTAACTGTCAACTTTATTGTCAATTTTCACTCGTAAATTTGTGCGGTCGGGAATCTTTATGCGATATAAGGCGAGATTGCTGTCATCATTTTGTTAGAGAACGGGACTTTGGGCGCGATGCCCAACGAGTTTGCCAAACAGAAAGGTCTTTGAAGTCCCTTGGTCGGGACGAAACGAGCTGTGTAAGACTAGCCACGAACAATGTACTATCACAAGTCAACTTAATTGTCATGGTTTATTTTATTATTTATTTTGTTCTTGTATTTACTGCTACATTTTATTTACAGAAAAACAGATACAAACACCAGACAATTACTTTGGTTTTGGTTGTCCTTCGGTTTGAGATTGGATAAGCAGTTTAATTGATAAGTCATTGGTTTGGTTTGGGTTTTACGACGCTCAGTTGAGAAAATTGCTGTAGACACAGTAAAGTAATTAAGATTTGTTAAAGGAAAACAAAAAGCGACATGATATCAAAAGAGCCTGAGATTGACTCTTGACGAATCTTCGCGCTTCTCCATCATGAGTCCAATATCCTGAGAAAACCAACGTGGCAAATATCCGTGAAATTCCCGGGCGGATGTTGATATCTCTATTTGATCGATAACTTGTAGGTCTTATAGCAGTCGGACCTTAAGTAAAACAACATCGACCGGATACAGCCATTCTCAGTCAAAACTCACTAAAACTGAAAGGTTACAAAGGTCTCTTTTCCCTTCTAGAGCATATTTTTATTAAGGTAACAATCCAATGGCTTGCAGTTCATAAGAGACATAAGAGTTACAACTGATTAGACCATTCCCACGCGGTTTGTCAGTGGTTTGTTGCTGCAGGGTCGGACTTGCCCCTCACCAACTTACAGTTGGACACGTGTTAAAAGCGTGCCTGTCTGTGTGACTTTGGTTTTTGAGGTGATCTTTGACTTTTACGACCTCCCCGGAAGAGATTTTTCCTTCTCTCTTTCTTCGTAATGGCTATTGTTGTCGGGAAATTCTGTTGCGATTTCATGTAATTCTTGAAGTAAGCAAAAGCAGAACGAGTTTCTTTAGTGCAGGCAATCTCAAGTCATTTTTTACGGAGAAAATCGACTCACGAGAGTAGCGTGACTCTGGTTGGCGGCGATATAAAAAGGGCTTTGTTTATCATCAAACCATTTGGATATTTGATGTCACTAATACAAACTGAGACGCGCTTTCACACTTCCGTGTTTGCTTTGCCCGCGCAACTTTCATACCCTAATATCACCCATCTTTCTAGGATCATACGTTAAGAAGGAAGTTATGAACATTACAAATATGTTTTAACGTTACAGGTTTATTTCTTTATCTGGTGAATGCCAGATTTGGAGAGATGTCAGACAAGCTTATTCAGACAGTGCAGTATGAGACCTGTACGGTGTGAAATTACATTACTGGGACGTTACGCAAACCCAGTCGCAACCTCGTCAAACATAAACGGCACGAAACAATCTCTATATATTTTTACGCACGCAATTAAACAGGTCGTCGACCCAGGGAAAAAAAAACACCTGTATGATTGACGTTTTACGGTTTCTTGTACGATTGTGATTTTGTATAAGCAAAGCACGCGTCATTTCGCTTTTCGATCAAACCGTTATAAGATATCATTTTCTCGCCGCCTAATAATCAGACGCGAAATGTTTAGCAGGGCTTCTTACTCCAGTCTAAAGGGCATTTCCTCCGGAAACTTAACTAAAGGGTCAACTATTAGATGGACTTGATATTAAATTATGGCGATGAGCCTGATATATTTAAATTAAAACACTATTTTTTTTGGCGTGTTGTGTCACTTTTTACTCCATGTCTGTTTTGACAAACTATGGGGAAAACTTGAGAGATGTCAAACACTCCTTTTCCGTGACAGCTTTATACTTCGCTTTTGGCGTTGACACAATCCTGAGGCATTTGCACTGAGAAGTGTGAGACTGACAAACTGAGCAGAAAATTCGCTGACAACTTCTTGAGTGTTTGTACAGGAATACGAATACAGAAATACGAATAAGAGATCATCGTGGGCGGAAATATAATAACGCATCTGCAGATAGAAAATGGAGGAAGGATAGTCGGCATATCTGAGCTAAACTCAAACAAAATGGCAGCCGATCTCCAAATTATGTTTATAAAGTGCATGTTAGTGTGTAAAGCGCACTTTTGGTGAAGTTTAAATATACCCCTTTAAGGGATGAAAATGAATACAGATTTTCAATGCAGACAAAAGAGAACCATGGCATACCTCCACCGTTACTGAAACATAGGTAAGGAAAACGCCACACATTGCCAAGCCCGACAGCATAACCAACGCACGACAGAATGAAATCCAATTTGCTTCCCCAAACCTCTCGGACAACTTCGTTCTCCTTCTCTGCCACTGCAGGGTTTTCATGTTGAGCTACCTCGCCTCTGGTGAGCGTGATATCACTTGGGGTGCCGACAGGATATAGCTCTAAGTTGGTTTTTTTGTCTTCCATGGCAATTTGTGGGTAGTTTCCTTCCGAAGCGAGAGGCTTTTTTTTTTTAATTTTGACCCAGTGCGTCGTTGTTTTGGATGTCTGCTATGTTACCCACAGAGGACTCAGAGGTCAACAACAGGACCAATGGTAAATCTGAGAAATGCCGGGCAAAAATTAAAAAGATCTTTGTGTTTTCATAACCCCCACAAGTATGCAGAGAATTTTATTTGTTAAGCCCAGTTTAGACTAGCCACATAACGACATAAACAGAACAACAGAAGAAGGACGTTTTGTCGTTATGTATGCAGTGTGAACATCCATAATGGCATTAATAGCAACATACACAACATAACAGCATAAACATAACGACACAAGGAGAAAAGGGATCTTTTCCTTATGTCGATGTTCACATTACCGACATAAGCGATTGCGTCGTTATGTTGTTGTGTCGCTAGTGTGAACCAGGCCTCAGTGATAACACGCGTGTGACATGTGCTATCTCGCCAGACCACCCGGAACGAGAAGGAAACATTTACGATGTGATTTACGCCATTTATAGCTTAAAATCTTTAAGTTACCACCAGCCCTCTAATTCGTGACTTGTACATTTCTGTTACATCCGTCACGCGGCTGTTGATTTGCAGAGGAGATAGCAGGACTGAAAATTGAGAAACATATCCTGGACCAACAAGCAATTTTGCCTCCGACTGCAAAAATTCCGCGGTATTGATCAATACCGTGGCAGTTACCCTCTATGCTACGTGGGTTAGTTGTCTCTTGTAGTGCGCGACCCGACGATGAGAAAGGCAGAGAGAAAGCTACTTTTTTCATTTATTCAAATTTCTCTAATCCAACAAGAACAGAATAGTTTACTCCAACCATGTACAAAACGAAAAAACAAACAGAAATTAAACACATTAAAAGAGTTTATTCCACACTAGTCCTCTTATCAAGCTTTATTACAGCAAAATACTTTCGGCATTTTAAGACCTCCGTCTCTTTAAATCCTGATATAAAAAGCTCGGGTTCATCCTACCGTCGGGGCTAAGATATCCGGTTTTTGACAAGTTATAGTACAGACCCCTCCAACATGGACCTAAAATACCAAAGTGGACTGCTGTTTCCTAGTAATATCACTACAACTGCTTCCTTAACTCTATAACCTCTCTCCTTCTCTGCACATCGAACAACTATTGATTTTTTTTCTCTCACTGTTTACCGAGGTAGATTCATGTAGGTTCATTCTTGTTTAGTGTGCCTAATTAGTCCGCTTGGGCTAAATTCCTTGACACTTAAATAAACGTTATTATCTTATCTTATAGGATACTTCTGTGGTAAACAAACTTCTGTGAACGCTGCTATACGCAAAACACTTTCAATCTATCTAAATGATAAACTTAGTTCTTTTTAGTTAAACGTGTTTAAAGCTTTGATGTAAGAGATGAGAACAAATCCTACAAAGGAGTTACAATTCTTAATCACAATAAACCTAAACAACGCAAAGTAATCCGGAATGGCTTTGGTTTAAACTTAGCTACTTTCTATGATTGGCTCAAACAATCAGATGCAGAACTAAAGCCAATCAAGGCTTGGCCGAGTGTTTTTATTTGGAGGTCCCCGCTATTAGTCCGTTTCCTTGTTTGCGTCTGTTTTCATTTACGGTAATTGGCCATTGTAATTGCTTTGGTATTGGTTTTACGACGCTCTAAAAACCGCTCTAACCAACACGAGCAACAGAGCAGTTATTGGTTGAGCAGATTTGCATCTGATTGGTTGAATAGACGGCGCGAGTCTTTTTTAAACTAATCACAGAGCGTAGTTAAACAAAACCAACGCAATTCGAATTACGTTCAACTCTCAATATAAAGATCGTTTAAACTGACACCCGCAGTCTTTCATTCAGGTCTTGAAATCTTGCCCACTGATGTAATATTCTCGGACATTTCTTTATCTGTTAGCTCATATACGTACTTAGACTAATTAATACTACGTACAAGTTGTTGTTACTCGCATTATGATCATGACATGAACTCGTATGAAGTATGGCGCTCAAAGAAATAAATTAAACTAATAAGTACATCAAAGTTTCATGCCAGTGTTTTGATAATTTGGCTCCAGCAGCTGAGGGCTTTACCTTTAAAGACTTTAAATCTGAAATAAATTGACATAAAAATATTTGTGAAAACAGTTGCTTTATGACTAGGGGATTAATATTCTGCTACTATTCTAAAATACAAAACGACACTTCAGTTTGTAATACATGTTTTTGAGACATGTCACTCAATATACTGAAGATATTACACTTCCTTAGGGTCTTATTTCAAATTTCGCGGTTTTCTTTTTCCAAATTCCACGATTTAACTAACGTTAATTCTCTATTATTTAATTTCGTGCTAATACCATTAGAAATGCGCCCTTCTCTTATTTCGCGCCACTATTTTCACACCTTTCAGGCGGAGGGAATGAGTCCGGTTAATTTTTTTATGTTTCATTATTTTAAGGAGAAGTGGATCGTAATAGAGGGGGCGCTTATTTGAAATTACGATGCATAATACATCAAATCTTTTCATGGGACAGCCTTGAAAACATGGCGAGAAAACTCTGTGATGGAGAAGGGTCCTAATCCAGTGGTCAGCTTGTTTAAAATATTATAAATCATAAATGCTAGGTACTCGTATAAGCTTCTTTTCAAGGAAAATTAAGTTAGCAGCCGTTCGGGTAATTATGCCAATAATGCTAAATGTCATTACATTTTCGGTGTTGGTTTCTCAGCTTTCTACGGCTGTTGCTTCATTACCCGTGTAGGCCGTACCAGTCAAATATGCATAAGAAAATGTTCCAATTGTAAAACTCACCAGGGCGAATTCCGTTTGGGTAGGTAGTCCGTTATCTTGTTCTATCCTTCGCATGGTTTGTTCATCTGGTTTCAGCAGGTTCAAAAATCGCTAAACCAAAACAGAGTGGTGTTACAAGAAAAGAAACACAGTGAAATCGATCTTTTCATCTTTGTAGATACATCACTGACGAACAACTAAAACTGGTTTAAAACTACAATGTTTTAGTTGCGTTAAAACTCAGCATCAGGGCTAATCGCTTTGTAGTGTTACAGATTAAATGGTAAGACCATACAGAACGTGTATTCAATGCTAGTAACATTATATTTAGTTACTACTAGCTGGCATCTTTACCAACATAACGAAATCCTAGAACTGCAGGTTTGAGTGGCTCACCTCTTTGATTGGACGGGACCTGTCTCTGAAAAGCCTGTATATGGCATATCCAGGAACAAAAAGAATGGATGCAAGGCAAAGGCCCCACCCCACCAGCTCAGCCCAGACTGGATATTTGTAATCGCCAAGCGAAAGTCCTGACCAGTCCACACACTGCCAGACAAAGATAACCTGGGATGGGAGGAGAAGGTAAATAATATTGTCTTCAGTTACAATGAAGTAATAATGAATATGTATTTTTTAGCGTGAACGCCACGCCACGAGATGAGCCCACGAGTCATTTGTATTTTCTGGGTATACGCACGAGCCTTTAGTAGCTATCTTATACCCCCTCGGGGGGGTGGGGGGTACTCTCTTATATGGGCTATATAGGTATGTGCGGCCCCAAAGGGTAGGGTTTTTCAGCCGTTGTAGTCATAAATAGGGTATCGATTTTGGCCATTTTGGTTATAAATAGGGTATGGTTTTAGCGCTCTAGTCTTTAATTGGGTATATTTCTTAGAAGAAGCTACTTTTTCTTCGTTTTCAATAAGAACGTCAACAAAAGCCCTTCATAACTTAAGTTTAAGGCAACTGCGTCAGCCGCAACGGTCATAAATAGGGTATTGAATTTTTGGCCAGGTCATAAATAGGGTAGCAAAAATCGCAGATTTTGGTCATAAATAAGGTAAGAGTTTTGGGAAGTGGGCCGCACACCCCCACCCAACTTTTCTGGGAGTACCCCCCCCGGGCTTATACCATGCAATAGAAAATACAGTGGCCAACACAATCAAGGCGACATATAAGTCCAACGCAACAACGCAAGTACACAACGGCTTTCCTGTATTCAGATTGGTTGTAATTTTGACATGGACTAAATATTGAGAGGCTTTATGAAGCCAGATACAGTTGTAATGTGTTCCTTACCAGAATGATCACTGGAGACAAGAACTTCCAGCACACCCGGAAATACAGATTTGGTCGGTGTCCTATCATGGTCTCTATGTTCTTGGAAAAGTTTTCAGTTCCTATTGAAAATGAGATCATGAGATTTCATCTGTTATTATTCATTGAACACAAACTTGATATATTAGAGGTAATAATCCTTACTGATTGTCATACACATCTTTTAACTTTAGTGGCAAAGCAAGACAACATTCTTTATAAGTTAAGATTTTTCGGCATGACCTTTCATTGTCACGGAGTTTCACGGTGTACTGTGATTTTGGTTGGTGATACTCGACTATAATCACTGAAGGGAATCAGCTGGCTGTAGGCCTTCCATCTCGGAGTTAAAGGAACTCAGTCATGCTATTTTGAGTTATTTTTGCCATGTACAAAATTACCTTTAAATTGAAGGGAATCTGAAAACGATAGTCTACTAAAAGATAGAAAAACACCAAGAAATAATGCTAAACCACAAAGAAACAAGGATGGTTAAGGATGGAGAAGATTTACAAGGATTACAAACGACGAACTTGAAAAATTTAGGCTAAACTTTTCAAGATGCACAAACCGTAGCTCCTTTAAGTGCAAGGTATTATGTGACAAGGATACAACAAAAGAGAGACAAAATAAAGAGATTAATAAATTAGCTTCCTTGAGCGGAGTTCATTTTAATCCCACGGTAAGTAAGACATTCTCGCATGGATTTTATTAATTAACGTAGTAAGAGCTATTTTTCTTACCATAGACCCATCCAATGGCAATTGATTCCAGGAGCGCGATAAGAACCAATGAAATTCCACCGCTCTGAATGTCAAACATTTCGAACACGTACAGTCCACCCTATAAGAAAGCGAATTAAGGTGGCATTGTAAGTGAAAAATTAACAGACAATTGGCAGACAAGATTCAGTTCAACTTGACAAGGTTAGACAATTATTCTTTGACAGGGCAATCCAATTTGCTTTGATCGTTTCCTGTTTGAAACATAAGCTGTCTTATCATAGAAAATATCAGGCGACGTTGATCAAAGTATTTGTAAAATGACAGCGGATACAGAAAAAAAAAGGTAAAGCCGTAAATGTTTCCTGCTTATTTAATTTCGTTTCGGCTGTTGTCGTTTCGCGATAACAGCTAAACGTAATTTTCATTATCATTATACATTTCATTATTATCATATCAACAATCTAATAGAAACAAAAGTATGACGTCAGAGCAGTTTGGTTCGAAAGCTAACAACGGTGTCACTGTTCAGAAATACACAGACAAGACATTTCTAATTTCCTGTTTTCGTTTCAACTTAAGCCAACAAAGCTCGTGTATAATTACCTGAGTCACGTGTGCCAGGCCAATGAGGTAGCAGATAACACAAAAACCGAGTGAGACGGCAGACTTGTATTTACGCATGCGTGGTGACCAGTCAATGATAACGGTAGTACAGGTCTCAACGCCAACAAACTGAGAATAAAATGAAACAAAGTGCATGATATTAAAAAAATGTATATATTTCTCAAAGCATTAGCCATTGTATGTCACTGCTTTCTTCTTACTATAGAGTAATTCTCTTATGCTAAATTTTCAACCTCTCCTACTTATAATTATGGAACTGATTTAAAGGCTTTGAACTAGTTATTTATCAGTAACACCGAAAAAAGAGTTTAATGGAGTGTTTGAAAAAAGGGTCAGGAAGATTTACATTTGGTGAAATTAATTTTTGTCTTTAAAAGGCTGTTTGATTTTAATTCATATTTTTAGTGAATAACAATTAAATGAACTAAGGCTACTAATATGTATGTCATCTATTCGCTTCCGTTTCAAAATTATAATGAGAATCGACAGTGTAAAAGTACCTGGCTGTCCAGACCAAGGTTAAACAACATGAAGAAAAAAAGAAATGCCCAGATTTGTGGAACAGGCAGCTGTTTGATTCCTTCAGGAAACGCCATGAACACCAGGCCTGGTCCTAAATATTGAAATGATATTGTTACTTGAGTACAGGTCAGAGAGGAGGTAGGGTGGTGTGATAATAAGAACAACCCTTTGAGAGAAATCGGATTTTACTAGCAGCCACGACCCCCCTGGCGGCTACTCAGAAGACAACGGCGATTTAAAAACGGGGTATATTCACCTACGAATCTCGCGAAAATCCAAATTTACTCAATTGTCTTTCACTAGAACTATCCTAAAACTGAATATGTTAGACAACGTTCAACTCGAAAAAAAAGCTTTAACAATTTTGCCGTCGTGGTTGGCGTTGTGACAATTTTAGTCTAATTTATACTTTGATGTGAAATGACCAATTGAAAAGGTACTTTCTTTTCTTTCTTTCTTTCTTTCAAATTCCCTTCGTGCGGAATAACCTGATACACATTTGCATACCACGGGGGAAAATAAGGGTCATCACAGAAAGGCAATCAGTGTCTAGAAAAATAGTGGTTCCATTCATGTCTACAAGCAGGATTTACTGTTTGTTAATTAAATAATTAAGTTCATTAACAAGCAGGAATTGTCTGCCACATGGAATTTGTGCAGTTTAATTTTTTTATTTGATATTAGATACTCAACTACAAGAAACAAAAGAAAACAAACTTTCGTGTCATATGTTCAAAACAATACGCGAGACACAGCAGAGATTTTACCTCCTTTGACGGCATTACCAACTTCAGTTTTGAGTAAGCGTGCCATAAAACCCATCATGCTGAATACGGTAAAGCCCGCGAAAAAACTGGTCATACAATTGATCAATGAAACCACTATGCTGTCCCTAAAATAAGAGAACAGGGAATTCTTTAGTGAAGACGATCGGAGTTAGCCAAAATCGCACATTATGTTGTCTACCATGGACTAAAGAACTCCAGCAATTTTAAAGTGACTGAGGCCGCGTCCACACTACGCTATTTTAAAACTTAGCGTTATTTTTACGTTTAGGCCAACCGTCTACCATAATCCGTCACGAAAACGGAGCTTTTGGGAAACGCTCTTCAAACCAGAGGAATTTGAAAACGCTGGCATTTCGTTTTCATGTGGAAAGAAAATATTTTGAAAACGGAGCTTTTCGAAAACGAACGATGGCGTCAAAATAACCATGTAATTTCCCTGACGGAGTTTTCCCCAAACACAAATCGAAAATGACCGGTGATTGTTTCGTTTTTAAATTCCTCCCGCGTAGTGTGGACGGAAAACATTTGATGCGTTTTCAGAGTGGAACCTCCGTTTTCAAATTCCTCCAGCGCAGTGTGGACGGGGATTGAGCAGTTGCAAATTAATCGTCTAAAAAAGGCATTGACCTTTTATCTATCGCCCCACTCACGCTCATATCAATTACAGAGGGAATTATCATATTTAAACCGTTTTCCTGTCACTGATTTCACAGTTTTTCTTTGTATTGAAATAAAATGTTGCTCAGTGATGTAAACCATATGTTATATTTAGTTGTTCGTTTTAAAAGTGGCGAAAGTTGTCATGCGAATTTTCAACGTTTAAAACCCGAAACTGTTCAAACAAAAAATAAATTTTGCTTGGTTACTGAGTTTTTTGACAAGTATCTTTACGTGGAAAAATCTCTAAAACCTGTGAAATGGACGTTAGTAATGTTTCCCTTACTTTTCACAGTTGTTGTTAAACTTGTTGAAGCTACTGTAGGTAAGGAGTCCTCCCATTCCGATACTGAGTGAGTAAAATATCTGACCAGCGGCTTGCACCCACACCTGTAGAGATCATTAATGCCGAGAACAAGAAGCAAGACCCATGTTTGCTTTTTCACGGAGAAATACAGGAAATCAAATGAAGCACCAGAGATAGACCAGCTTCAATTACTATTGCAAAGCTAATAAGGGACGATAAATGAAAAAATAAAAATAATATTTTCCAAAACTGCCATTCTTCTAAATAGAGTGTATTTGGTCTTGTCACGCGTATTAGATATCAAATGACATTGGATATATATTGTATCTTTTGCTTAGTTTTACGAAAAAAAGTAAGTGAAGTTTATGGCCCTCTCAATGTCTTTCAAGAAAGCATTACACTAGTAAAAAAAAACTGTAAAGTAGTAAAGTTACTGAGATCTTTCAGATTCTTCTCCTAGCTAAGCCGACGGCTTTAACTGTCTAGGGGTTTGTACACGTTTCTACTGTACCAGTGAGCAGAATGGCACTCTTACCTGCGGATCTTTAAGTCTGGAGAAATCAGGCTTCAAGTAGAAGAGGATCCCGTCACCGGCTCCCTCTAAAGTAGCACCACGAATGAGAAAAATGAACAAGACCAGGTATGGAAACAAAGCAGTGAAGTAGACAACCTGGAAAGCAAGACACTGGCGTTTCAGTTTTATATCTCACTGGTCAATGTACGCCGTATCAATCGCATCGTTTCTCATTCTGTTGAAAGAAAGTGACTTTTACTACATGCGACCAAAAGTATACTAGCAACTGAGAGTCCTCAGCTCAGAAATGGTTGGTTTTTTAATGTCAAGACAACGTTTCTATCTGACGGCAAGTGTTTCTCTGGAATCTCTTCTTCTTTGCTTTTCTTATTGAATTAATTTTTTTTGAGAAAAGAACAAAGCGCACACTTGTGTATGGAAAACTTCCGTTTGCCAAGCTTCTTGCAAAACCCCTGAAGTTAATCCAGTATAACTCTCTATGGACTACAAATACTACAGTTAGTTAGGAAAATTGAAACCGTGAAGCAAACATTGATGCAACTTATTTTTTTGATGGCCTTCAGAGTTGATTTTTTTTTAATGGCACGGAATCGATAATGATTGGCTTCACATATCTGGAAGATATTTAAAATTACCTTTCCAACTGATTTGACTCCCTTCCACACGCAGAAGTAAACACAGATCCAAGCCACGAGAAGGCAAACAGCCAGCTCCCAACGGATTTCTCCTGGTTGATCAATTCCATCCGACACCTTGAGCATACGGCCACTAAGATAAATAAAAGCAAGAGAGCCCAATCAGGCACATTAGATAAGACAATAAGAACTGATCGATTGATTGATTGATTTCTTGTGTGTGGATTTAGGATAAATCTGTAATAAACAGCCAGGTCATAACAGTGTGTCACTAAAAACTGAAAAAGAACGCCAAATATTTTGCCATTCTTATTTTGTTGTGAAAAGTACTTATATAGGTATCAAATCAGGTCTAATTAACAATTAGACACGTAGCCCGCAAGGGCTACGGGTCAATAGCACATGAGGCGAAGCCGAATGGGCTATTGAACCGTGGCCCTTGAAGGCGAAGGGTCTAATTGTTTTAGTATCACCCAACTAGTCGGACAGAAAAGACAATAATAAAGTTAGCAAATGCAGGTTGAAGAAATATTTATCTGGGAATAAAACAAGAGAAAGCGTCACCTTCGATTGCGCCAATTTCGCTACTGAAGGACTATTACTAATAGACCTCTAGTAGCGTGGCCAATTAAAATGCAAGATTTGCATTAGTCCACTAGTTGGGTGATACTAACAACCATTATTTCTTACTTGAAATATTCCTCCTCAGGAGATATATATTGCCCGCTGCAATTTAATGGAAGGCCAATAGCTGTGCAGTTCAATGAGACATCCATTACGCGGTCCTTTCTACATGAAAAAAGAGAGAAAATTACCACTTACATGATTGTACGAGGATAACAACACAAAGAAGTTTGCCTTGCCGCATCTCAGTTTATCTCCTGCTGACAACAAGATTCGTGAAGCTATCTAGGCCCGGTGGTAAACGTGTATTTGTAGTAAGAGCAAATTTCTTATGCCATCATTCCAGGTTTGGTAGTGGGTCAGATTTTGAGACAAGACTTTGAGCAATGATCCTTCAAATACTTACGCCTGAAAAGGCATGTATTCTCGAGAGAATAGAATCCCAACAAGTTTCCTAGGGAAGTGCGTTGTACACTCCTTAAAGGAGAGAAAATGAGTTTGCTCGCGGTCCAGAGGCAAACAGATATGACCCTAGAGACATTTTAAACAGCTTTTGGTGGAGGATGTTTCTTAATTAATCCTAATCAAATCCCTTACTTGCAGTAGTTGGAATTCCACTCATTTCCACATTCACCCCATGGCATAGTTTTTCTAAACGTTACAAATATGTAATAGAGAGTCCAAGCGATGATGACGTTGTAATAGACACTGATCAGGAAGGTGATCACCAGCATGGCGTAACCGAGGCCTGATGAAATAAAGCAGATCACGTGTTAAGGCCTGGTCATTACAGTTAACTACTACCGTATGTGTATTGATTGGTTGAACTGCGACTTTCTTATGTGCTAATAATGTTGTAGGAAGCGTTTAGTATCCGCCATTAAACATGTCAGTTGCGGTGTTTGTGTGAATAGTATGAAAGTAATGGCATGAATTGTTTTGATATCGTCTTAACCTCAAACAGGTTCTTGTTACTGCGTGTTGCTAGTAGAACGCGTTCAAACACTAGTTGAACAATCTCTGGAACTTTTTTAATTTTTTTTTTTAAATTCCGATTAAGATGGCATGGAATGTGACACTTACCTCCAAACAGAGGACAAATAGCTGACCAAGACTTAACAACGCCTTTTCCGACATACTGACCAAGAGCGACTTCAAGGTAGAAGATGGGGATTCCACAGAACACCAGGCAGATCACATAAGGGATCAGAAACGAGGCTGTGAAATAGATAAAACACCGTGCCAGACCAAGTCATGTGAACATCTAACTGTCACAGAAGGTAGTTTTAATTTTTTGTCCTATAATCTATTTCATTGGTACTTGACTTACATTTGAAGTTGTCTTATTAAACTTCGAGCGAGTCCTAGTAGGTGCTTCTCTTAACGAAGGTATAGAAACAGTAGCCGTGAAAAGTGTGGTCCAGTGCTTTCAAACGGTTAACTGACATAATTTATTTTCTGTGTACCAATTGCGGTTTCATGCCTTATGAGTTCCATAGTAGTGGGTTGATGATATAAAAAATCTATGAAACTTAGTAGAAAACAGTGTCGGAGCACTGAAAACAGAAACATCTTTCACCATTCTCGTATCATCTCTCTCATTTTCAGGCTATTTTCTCGCGGTACATTCTCTTTTTAACCGCCGTTATCATTACCGAAGATAAAGAAGATCAAGCTCATGCGATAGCACTAAACTGAGACAGGTAACAAATTTGCCCCGACGTACGTAGCACGAAAATTGAAACTCAATGGAAATCAGTAGGAAGAATTAATAGCCTGGCGGGCGTGCTAGAAACCATGTCATTCTACATTAGAACTGCACAAACAGCTGATATCTCACCTCCTCCATTAATGTAGCACAAGTAAGGAAAGCGCCACAGGTTCCCCAGTCCTACAGCGTAACCAACGCATGATAAAATAAAATCGAGTTTTCTTGTCCACTGCTCGCGCTTTCCTTGCTCTTCTGTACCTGCCTCTTTCTTAGGGAGTGAAGTTGCTCTTCTTGACGAGGTAAGGGGATTTAGAGGTTCCGAATCGTTGTTTTTGTCCATCGCTACAAGGTGTTACTGACACGTGTGCAAGAAGCGAAAACTTGGGAAAATGTTAAGTGAACACGGACTTATAAACAGTTAACTTGTAGTACGTGTAATTCAATTGACCTCAGTGACTGTCTCATCACGTTGCCAAATTAATGCTAATTTGAAGTTCCTGTCGGGCTGTTTTCGAGCTATTTTTCAGCTGTGGCTACATATTTTAACACGGAATGTTGCCAACAGAACCATTTTCTTATTTCCTAAGATTGAGAGACCAAAAATGGACTCTATAACGGGAGAATTAACAGAATGAACAGTAATTCCCATTATTGTTAGATTTACTCATTTAAAAAAGCTCCAGGCCTCTTAGCTGAAAATTCGTGTACGGAAGTGCGATATCTAAACCCATCTAAACCGAGGTATAGAGCAAAACGTGGACGAAAATCCAGTAACAAGGAAGTTAGCATCAAAGGAAGTGAGAAGTGAGAGTGAACGTGATAGGGTTTGGGATAATTAGTTATTTTAAGGTTGAGACAAAACAATATAATAAAACAATAATTAATTCATTATTTCAAAAAAATTGGGAGTCAGGGCACGTCGTTACCGGCGAGAAAGTTTTAAACGCAAAAACTGCTTGCGTCGAAATTAAATAACTTGTTGCCTTCAATAAAAGAACAATTTGGAACCCAGTGAGATGTACACTTCTTGCAGGATTCATTCAGAAATTCATTGTTTCAAACCTGCGCGCTATGTTTATTTTACTCTCAAACTCTCCATTTTATCGATATTGAGTCGACGTAACTTATTCGGCAGACTGGCTATTTTGCAAAATTTAATCAATTTTCAAGACATATTGAGTCCTGATCGTGCACCAGTACTATACGAAGCATAACAGCCTCAGCTTAATAGCTCTCGTCTCCTGCCCAATCGGTTAACTGCATGTATTCATGTTTCCCAGTAAACATCTCTTGTTGTGTAGTTTTCGCAGCGCGACATACAGGCTACCTGTCCAACTGGTTTGCATAAATTCCGAGTGATTAACAATTAGATGGAAATTTAATTTTGTCTCATTTATTTCTTCCCTTGAACTCATCAACTGTGGTCAACTGTAGTCTCCATACATCTTCCGTTCCTTTTTCCTTTCTAGAAAACACCTTCTTAGTTACGTCGATAACTTCCTTTCTAGCTGATCATTGAGTAGTTGAATTCACGACTTGCCTGAGACGTAATATTTGAGTAATTAATGAGCTTCCTTCCTAATTATATTTGATTTCATTGCTGATTAGGAACTCTCGATCCTTACGTGCGAGGGAGCGCTGAACTGGTCTTCCTTCAGCAACTCGCTTTTACTTCCTTAGCATATTTTTGAAATAAAGGCAAAGATATGAGGAAGTTATGGCAAGGGAAGAAAGACAGAACTAGATCGTTTTCGATTCCACCGTACAAAGCGAGGCACGAAACTTTCATCGATGTCAGCCTGATTCTCAACGACACTGAAGTGAGTTCGAAATTTCCGCATTCCGTTGATGATATACACAACTGAATGCCAAGGCAGCGACAAGATAAAAGTCAGAGAAAATCAATTAGGCTGCTTAAAGTAAGATCGAAATAGCTTTTGAATGGGGAAGACATTGTCCAACTTTTTGAATTGCTTTCTTTGAAAACCTGGAAACCCAGTAGAACTTATATAGAACCGACAACGTGCACAAAATATAATAGTAGTCCTGGAATGCGGCAGAACTTTGTAAACATAACCCTTAAACACTGTAGGGGTTATCACAATCTGTGTTGAATGATACTGTAAAACCAAGGCAGATGACAAATATATTAATTATCATGTTTTTAATACCAGCCTTAATAAAATATACATTAAAAGTTTTACTTACAAGTTTTTATATACTCTGAACAATACAGAAACTTTTAAGTAATAACATTAGGCTAGTCGACGTTGAAATGTAGCTGGCAACTGTTTCCAGAGTTTTTCAGCCCTTCTGCTTCAACGGATCAAATGTTTTACTATCACAAAGTTCAAAAAAGGTTCAGGAAGTGGCCCTGAAATTTAGCTCACATTGTGTTCAACCTGGTAAAGAGTTGTAATTTAGCACGCTAACTGCAATGCAATGGCGCGTGGGAGGGGGGGGGGGTGGGGCTTTGGGGCTAAGGGGGTGGTGTCAGTGGACTTGCTTTTCAGTCATGAGGACTTAAAACTTGAAAAAATAACCATAACTTGTATACAAATGCAAGAAGACACAATTCTTTGATATTATCATTGTGCCTTCAACTGACAAAGAGTGGTGCGATTGATTAACAAGGAAAACTGTTTAACACTCACTGAAAATGAACATTTACTGAGTCCGCAGTAGTTGATAATTCACTGAAGAGAAAGTTACCATTACAAAAAGGACAAATTCTGCAATAATTCATTGCAGTGCTTGTATTCAACACTGAACTCGATAAATAAAATGCGCAAAGAACTGAAATCCCCAAAAGCTCTACCAACAATTGTTGGTTAACTATATTTCACCCATTTACGGAGAAGATAAAACCTCTCATTCAAAAAGAAACTAATGCTAAGTCGTTACGTTTTAAGCATCATATCACAGCACCTTTATCAGATATCAAAATGCTTGTCATTAGATTTTTACTTCATTAGACTACACAGGAATATTTCTTTCTATCCAGGTTTATTTTGGCTTGACGTTTCCTTCAATTGCACCGCCAGAAATCCTCTTGGACAAGTAACGGCATCGTCTCACAACTTTCAAATAAACAAATATATAAATTATATTTAAAAATAAAGTAAAGGTCGTAAAGAGGTAGGGAGCTTAAACAAACCACGACGACGACGGCAACGAGAACGTCACCAAACAAAAGATTTAATTTACTATTTTCCAATTAATTGCCCATAATTCACTCTGTTTGCTCCCTAAACTTTGCATAAACTATTGTTGTGAAATACTCTTGGGAGGTCTGCATATTCCCAAGAGCATTTCATAACAATAGTTTATGCAAAATTTGGGGGGCAAATGGAAAACAGAGAATGAGCAAAACAACAGCTGCGCACGTGCGTTTTTAATCTTTGTACATTTCTTAGCCGTCCTCTGCAAAACAAGAACGTGAAATGACCAAGTTCTGCGTCGTCTGAGGAACGCGAACGACGACGGCTAATTTTTCGTATTTCCATTTGAAATTGGACGCTGTCATTGCATATTTAGCCTGAGCAGGTTTTTAGAGCCATTGGCGAACTGAACAGATCTAGGCAATTGCGAATTTCGCTGGTAACTATAAATTCAGTTTTCACTTTTGCGTCGTCCTCGGCGTCGCCGTCGTCGTTGCTGAAGCTCCCTTATGTAAGGGCCGGTACGGTAACTCTAAGCAAACATACATTTCTGCCAGATCGAGGACTCAATTCCGACCTGCTTCAATCTGAGTTGTGTCTCCGATTGGATTAAGACTTTTTTCGGGTAGATTCTCAGTCGTCTCTCAAAAGGGAGAAAAAACAGCCCACTGAGACTTTTGTTTCAGACAAGAAAATGGAATTTTTTTTTTTTTAGGTGAACATATCTTTAGTTCTAAAGCCTATTAGGAACCTTAGTAACCGGGTGTGTATTTTGGTTAGCCATAAGAAACCGGGGTTGCCATAACCCAAATATCTGCTAAATCTTACTTCTACTGAGTCATCTTGGTCAATCAATACAAGAAGCGATACTTAGACGGTTTCTTGTGCCCTACAGCAATAAAAAATTGTGTTGTTCTCCTGACAGCCGTTAATCCTTGTACCTAGACTAGTAAAAGACGTGCCACCCCCGTCCCCCGGGGGAGACTCCCATACGAAAAGGTCGGAAATGCTCGTCGTTAAATCAAGGATGTGAAGGATGGGAGTCCACCCCGGGCTTGCCACCAGTGCGTCGCACTTGAAAAAAGGTTAGGGTGCAAATTGTGTCTTATTGAGTTCACGGTTCTGCTCAGCGTAGTTAAACAGAGTTTGATAGATCAAAGAAACAATTGAGAATATCCAAGATTTCAGTGGTCTTATTCGAGACTAGAATTAATGTCATCAGCAGTCAACTCACCAAAACGACTTCAGGTGCCCTTTTGTCTTGAATGCCATTGTCTCGTAAAATTTGATCCATCATTTTCTGGTCTGGCTTCAGCAGTGTGTAAAAACGCTGGGAACAACAAAAGTTTTAAAACGAACTCACTCAGGATATATTTTGTGAAACAAATATGGTCCACACCGAGTTAAAAAAGAGATTGTAAAACTTACATCTAAAGGACTGAATAAATGCAGAGGTAAATCATCCAACATTCACTTCATGAAAACAAATTACAGACGAAAATATAAATAAGACGAAGACGATACAAGATGAAGTAGAAGTCAGAAACAGAAGCACTTACTTCACTGAGAGTTCCAGGTGTTTTCCACATTTGGTGAATTGCAAATCCTGGAATAAGCAATATGGAAGCTAGGGCCATCATCCAGCCCAGCAGCTCGGCCCATCCGGGGTACGGTTGTTTGTTATACGACACACCGTTCCACTGAATTATATTTGCCATGACAATTGCCTGAAGAGAAGTATAGAGAGAAATTAAAGGGAACTGAAACATGTGAGTTAACAAATCGGTTGTAATTACTGAAGTTTGACTTTGCATCTTTGGCGACGTTCTCTTTTTTTTACGTCCTTCCAACTGAGCAATAAAGACTCTGAAAGACTCTGGAGACATGTCTGAAGTAAGTAAGTTAAGTCTGCATACGAGCCAGGTAGCTCAATGTGGAGACGAACGTACTAATCATGAGGCCACCACGCGTTACGAGGGTGCAGTGATAACGTATATATTGGGTAATTTTTACATTTTTCTGTTTTTTGCGTTCTCCCTCATTTTTTTCAATAAAGCTGCAAAAGTCCCAATTATTAATTTCCGCCTCTCTTACTCTTTAGAATCTTCTAAACAACTTACGATCGTGCAAACGGGCGAGATGTATTTCCAACAAATTCTGAACCACAGGTACGGCCTCTGGCCAGTCATGGCTTCCACGTCATCGCTAAATCTGTCAACACCTTATTAGAGATTAAAGGCTATTATAGTCCCGGTTTCACGTTACATACAACAAACTCTACATATCCTGTTTTATGTTTTCTACAGACCCAGTTCCTAAAGACATCCTGCGCTGTAAACACTCATTTTACGTACGACGATTAACTCTTCTTCCTGGATAGCGCATCTTGGTTTTTATTTACCCTAGTTACAATCCTCTTTATAAAGCGCATAAAAAAATATTTCGATATTCAAGTTTTGAGTAATGACTCACCATAAATCCAACCGATTGTAATAATCTCCATCAGAGATACAATCAGCAGAGATAATCCCGCAGTCTGGTAATCCATCAAGTTAAAGAAATACATTCCACCCTAGATAAACGTAATTAAAATAATCGTTAACAGTTCCTCTACGCTGAGTCCCTGAAACTGCTGACAATAAATTTTGCTTAGACAGTTATCACTGTTCTGTTACGAGGAAACCGTTAATTGTTGGAAATTTTGTCGGAGCTAATATCTTCGATCAGACAATTTGTTTTCTTTATTAGAGCAGAAATTAGGTCATTTGACTGAGCTTGTTGGATTTTGGACAGGAATTACCAACTTACTCCGATGCAAACTAAGTGCCTCAAAGAAACCTTAACTGGTTGAATAACTTAGTTCCACTACTCGGACTGTTGGCACTTAACTTCCGTTTCTGTTAATAGTAGCCAAAAGGCCACTTCTCCTGGTTGAAATGCTAGTCTAACTTTGTCAGGTTGCCCCAACAATTTGACGGTACCAATTGATACATTTGGGCCGAGCCTGAGACGCACTGTGAGAGAAATGTCCACATACGGTTCAAGGCTATATCTAACTACAACAGAAACGCCGGAACGTGTGTTGCAGGTCTTTACAAAATTTCGCTGCAAAAGCCAAAAGTGTACAGAACAATTAATGGATTCGGTTTTATCTTCGTAGCGAAGTTATCAAGATCTCCGGCCGTGTCTATCGAAGCCTTAGCCATGATAATCTCGGCTCCTATAACACAGTATATGTTTAAATAGGAATGAATCCAGAATAGATATATATATTTTAAAAATGGCAATTCTTACTTGCGTAACACAAGGAAGCCCAAGAAGCAGCATGCTGGCGCACAGGATTAGGACGAAGATTGGTTTCCGGTAACCTTTCTTTAGCCATGGATACTCATCTGTGAGGCCAGTGATAACTGCTTCAATAGTAGCAAACTGAAATGCAAAGACAAAGTGTCCATGAAGTGAATACAACCAAATGCTGTCAGCTCGGTTATGAACGCATGATTGTCGCCAAAAAAGCTCTTCTCTAGCTTTAGTCTAAAGAAAATCCGTTAAGAAAATGTTAAAAAAAAAAATGCTTAAATACACATTTAGTTACAGATGGAGTTATAAATCCAAAAGGCATTGAACCTGAACAAACTCAGTCAAGTAGAAACTTAAGGATTGAGTTCAATTCTGGGTTCTACAGGAAAAATATGACAATGGAAAAAGAAAAGAAAAAAATATGACATTTCGTGCGATATTTAAATCAAGTCACTTTATCTGAGCAAACATTACGCGAGTTTCATATACCTTCAAGGACAGACGAGTAGTTACGACTACGTTTCAGAGCCAGAGTGAACTGCTACATGGTACTGATAAGCTCGAATTCCCCTAAATCATTAGTCTGGTGGTTAAGCCTATGAAGATTAAAGACCAAAATGCAGTGTAGTGGAGCACTAGCCCCTGAGAAAATTGTACTGTTACGGTACCTGGCTGTCCAATCCTAAGGTGACCAGCATGAAGAAAAACAAGATGGCCCACAGAACAGACAAAGGCATTTGCGATATCGCTTCTGGATAAACAACAAAAGCCAATCCGGGACCTATGAAAGCGTACACAGAAATATGAATCTTAGCACTCTAAGTCCAGGGTCAGAAATGATCAGTCAAGTTACAGTGGAATATTTATCCAGATAAGGAAGGACAAAGTCTTATCTGAATCCCTGATCTCACAGATTGATATCTTATGCAAGATATGATCTCTTGGGGCTCATTAACCTCAGGGTGCCATGGCAAAGAGTGAGTGAACTAATTATCCCGACCCTTTTATTCAATCATGGGGTGTTTCCTTTGGGAACAAGTCGGATCACGGTGCATCGAAGAAAGCAATGAATTCTCTCTAGTAAGTATTCATTGGTTCCCTTTATGCACTAAGCCGAGTGATCCATGCCTTGCAACGCAGGAACGCGATAAAAAGGATAAACTTGATGTGCACAAATTTGTAAGGGTTACAGTAAAGGAAAATAATAAAACTTAGTAAGGATCTAAATATTTCAGAAAAAATTCCTTTCACCCGAGGTAGCAACGTTGGCCACAGTCGTTCGAAGGACATAAGCCATGAAACCAAGAACACTGAAAATTACGAATCCGGAGAAGAAGCTGGTTCCACAGTTTGCGAACGAGATTATGACCGCATCTCTGCGAGGAGAAGAAAAAAAAGATACAACATAACTTAATCATACAAAAGAGCAACGAGTTTGAAGGGAGGCAAACTCTGAAACTCTGCCAAGAAATAAAGCAGTCATCCTTTCTGTTGGTGTAATTTGGAATGATAGAAACAATATACCGGTATGGACTGAAGTTGAAGCATTTTTTTCTACATGCGAAGAAATATTCATTTCACGTTTTAAATACAGTTTATATTTATATATCTTTCATATACTCTTAAATTACCCCCTCTGAATTCTAGATATTGGTATTTACAACCACCCTGTTCTCAACGTAGCAAGGCTTCATAGCTCGTTTAGTTGAGCAATGTTCCTGCTTTTGCTGTCGGACTGGAGGTAACGGGTTAGTATTCCATTGCAACTCTCAATTCGTCTTTATTTATTACGCCTTGATATTTACATATCTATGTATTAGCTAGGAATTGGAGGAATAAATAAATAAAAAAATAAATAAAATTTATTACGCCATCCACTCTATCGTCGGGATATCAAACTGACATAACGGTATGAGGGCCTTATAGCCCAAAAGGTAGACCTCTCGATATACCGGTATCGGGAAGGTCGTGTGTTCGAATGCCAGATGATTGTTTAGACCAACGATTTGCTATGACCAACCGATGAATTCTCCCGTAGCTTAGCTGGAAGAACAACACACCGGTGTCGAGGAGGCCACTGGTTGCAATCCCACTGTAGCCTTCAACTCTCAAATGTAGTTGCTTGAGAAGCAGCAGTTTCTTGGATCGCTTACACTTTGTCTACTATGCGAAGATAATTTCATTCATGTGACGTTTCAATTGCAGTCCATATAACTCAGAATTGACCTATTGTCACTCACCACTCAACGTCTCAAGGCTCAGACTGCAGAGGTCATGGGTTTGAATCCCGTCCAAGGCTTGTAGCTTTTTCAGCTAAAACAAGCTATTGCATGTATATCATTTGGCTTGTGATCTTATACTGATAGGGTGGACAATAATGAAGACTTGAGAACTAAACGTCCTTGCATTGCTATGAAAATGTTTACTGCCAAAAGAAAAATGATCAATCTGGTTCTTTAACCTGTGGCAGTTATTTTCGAATTTGTTGTAGCTTCCAAATGTGATGAGAGTTCCAAAACCAATTCCAAGTGACCAGTAAATTTGAGTGGCAGCATAAATCCACACCTACGATACGAAATCAGAAAATAGCGTGAAACACTGTTTGCTAATAAAGGAACTTTGATTATACACGGTTTGTGCTTATTAACGATAGAAAGACGTTGGAACGTGGATTGATCAAAACAAAAACTAAATGAACACAAAATATCTGGGATTTACCAGTTAGGAGGTTAGCCATGTCACCATTTAAGTCGCCATTTTACATTTTCGGCGCCTCTATAGAGAGTTTTCCTAGAGTATTTGTCCAATCTGCTTCCAGATGAAAGAACAGAGGCAGATGAATAGAAGAAACCCCACTTGAATGAGATTGAAGATCGACCTTGTTTAAAAAGGCATACAATGGTTTTTCTGGTTTACATACCTGTGGATCTGCAAGTCGTGAGAAATCCGGCTTTAAATAAAACAGTATTCCATCACCAGCTCCAGTTAGAGTGAGCCCCCGGATGAGAAGTATGAAGAGAACAATAAATGGAAAAGTAGCTGTGAAGTACACCACCTGAGGAAAAAACGGCGCCAAAATAACTCAGCTAGACATGTACATGATTCTAGTTTCAGTTAAATAAAAGTGTGACAATAGAAATACAATATTATGCATCTATCGACACTGTGTTTGAGGAATAACTAAATTTTTGAAATAACTTAAATGAGACTTTTTCCAAATGGGTAAACTTCCTGGCCTTTATTTTGGAAACAATTGTGATTTAAATTCGTAGTCAATACGTATATGTCATTGAAAGATGCACGAAACCTAAACTAGACTGAACGGTATAAATAAGACATTTGAGACATTTGGTAGATCAATTGCTGGATTTTACACCTTCTAACTTGTAAACCATGAATGGTGCAAATACTTCGATGGAAAACTAAACATACTTTCCATTCTGATTTTACTTGTTTGACTGCAGTGCAGAGGTTCGGCAAAAACTACTGTAATTATTGAAAGGTATTTATTGACCGGATGACAGTTGCGAAAAGAAAGCTACGTGCAATACCCTCTCCTCTATTTAAATCTTTAGCCACAGTTCAAATATATAATCTTTCACACATTCACTTGCTTATCTTCATCATCTACGGGTATATTACGAACTCACAACGTAACGAGCTCCCAGTTGGCTCGATAGCTCGGTTGGTAGAGCGCTGCACCGATATCGCAGAAGTCATGGGTTCAAGTCTTGTTTAAGCCTGAATTTTTTCCAGACTTTGGGTTCGTACGGTTTAAGTTAAGTTGCGTACAGAACTGCGATAACTCTCATGACTTTACATGTAAGAGTATCATTCTTTTACCTTTCCGGAAGACTTGATTCCTTTGAACAGGCAGAAATACACCACAACCCAGGATAAAACTGTTGTTCCAACCAGTTCCCATCTCATATCTCCAAACTCTCCAATAGCTCCCGTAATTTGCAATACGTTGTCACTTAAAATGATTAATTGAAGGACAAGTTTTAGCTTCCAACGGTATGATTATGCATAGGGCCTGCCTTCATATTTCGGTTGTTACTCAATTTACAAGATGAATTCAGGCTTGTGGAACATAGTGGGTGTGGATATCTTAGTCGCTATTACAAAAGGGTACTGCTGTTAGTAAAGATCGCTCGAAAAGAAGAAAAACGACCAAACAAACAAACAAACAAACAAACAAACAAACAAACAAACGACAAATAAATAAATTAAAAGAAAAAAACAACAAAAAACAAATAGTGACAAAAAAGAAGTAATGTGTCATTGTCAATCAGCCGTTAGGTAGAAAGTAGTCTCCTTTCTCGCTAGCAGCACGATTTACGATATCTTAAGTAGTGCAGACATCCAATCAGTTTTTCATTTGGCCGTTAGTCTCACAGCTGTACTTTTACGTTCCCTGCTATACTTGAGTAAATTACATTAAGATAACAAAGCGTCAAGCTTAATTTTCATTGATGCAACAATAAGTGAATACAGAGAGAAGCTAATTTTGTTGTTTACTCACTTCCAAAACTCAGCACTTGGAGAGGTGTACTTAGCTGTGCAATTTATGGGCAAATTATACGCAGTGCAGTTAAAGACATCGTCCTCTGTTCTTTCTGCCCTAAATGAAATAAAATAGCAATCCGTTAAGAACCTGTTGTTACAGTTGAGCTTGCTGTAATGTATCTTTTGTTAAGAAGGCATGCAAATGAGACGAAAAGGTCAACACATTTCAGAATGACTTTGTTCGTTCGCATGTCAGACTCTTGAGAACTGTAATAACATCTATGCATGTCCGTCAAATAATACACTCGTGATATTGACTTTCAACAATGGCATGGAAATGTCGAACCGTTTTAAAAGTTTTATTTCTTGTCAAACATCCATGTTGCCACCTAATTCAGACCATGTCATGATTCATTTGGGAGGTTACAAGTGTACAATTTGTTACACGCAACTGATTGCATGGGAGTATTTACAAACATAACAATTGTAACGTCACAAATAAATTATCACATGATCTGAATTAGGTGGCAACGAGGATGTAAACACGTTAGCTGAATCTGTCTATTGATGATTGCAAAAACTCCCTTGAACTGTTGAAAGAACGGATACAAAGGAGGCAACTAGAGATTTTTGATAAACTTTTCACGCCGACGGTCAAATATCGTGCTAGTTAATGGGCTATAAGTAGAAGGTTCTGCAGTAAACTTGAGATGGGCACCCTGTTAACCAAAAGTTCCCTCTTCTTTTACAGCCAAACAAGGGAGTGTCACCTCTCCACAGCTTCCGGGGACACTTACAGGCAGAACATCGAGTTCCAGGGATGGTCACAGGTTTTCCACGGCACTTCAGATCGAAATGATTCAAACAAGAAGTAAAATGTCCAGGACAAGATTATGATGTAGTAGATACAGCAGAGATATGACATGAGACACGTGGCGTATCCAACACCTAGAAATTAAACAACAGCAACGCTAAAATGCTTATATCCTAGCTTATTAATCATATTTAAAGAGCGGCCTTCAACTGAGTGTGGTAGAACCAAAGTAATCACTCTGACCAATCACAAGAAACGCAGACAATCCGGTGAACCAATCAGTATTCCAAGTAATTACAGACAGCTGACGCAAAGCGCGGGAAAACTTGTGCGAACGAGTCTCGACTGGTTTTGGTATGACTTCAGATTTGATGAGAAAGTAGCGAGAGTTATTTAAGGCAATACCAATTATACCAAATGAAAACTGCTCTAATCACATTATAGGGGTATCGATATCGACCAGGTAGTGTGTCTCGCATGGGGTTAAGACTCCTTTATAGACCATCCTCATGGCTAAATGTCCCTTAATTTGTTTTGGCTTTTTCCTTTTTCTTAACTCATCATTTGTGAATATTTTTTTGTATCATCATCTGAAAATGATGCCATTTAACTATAATAATAATAACAACAACAGCAACAACAACAACAAAATAAATAGTTACTTCCTTTCAGAAATGTTTGGCATAACTCTTTTCATACTTCTTGGAGAAACTCAAGGCAAGCCTAAGAAGTAAAATCGTGGTATATTGCAGCGTTTTTAGTGATCCCTTTCACTTAATTGCATGATTTCTGGCCCACTCTGGCGTTTAAGGTGGTATCACAGTTACCTTTCATCAGCGGACAAATTGATTTCCATACTCCAATGACTCCGGAACTAAACCATTGACCAATAGCAAGTTCCAGGAAGAATAATGGGACACCATTCAAGAACAACATCAGGAAATACGGGATAAGAAACGATGCTGTCAGGGAAAACACCAAAAAATATGTAACCATTCACAGGCCTTTTATTTTCTCTAAGAGTGTTTTACTGTATTTCAATTTGAAGTCATAAGACGTACAATTTGCAAGACTAACGTGGTTACTACAAAATGATAAACAATCGGTGATCACGTACCAAACACGCTTCATTCTATACAAGTTTTTGAGCTTTATAACACAATTATCGTCTGTCAAAGAAAATATGTCGTCGGTGAGATTTACACTTGCAGCTAAATGCAGAGAATTGCACCCTATTAAAAGACTTTAGTCAGCCTCAGCCATTTTCGATGCCATCGAAATTACTGATATCGCATGGTGAAGCAAAATCTTATTGCTCTACCGTAAGTTGTGTTTCTGAAAATATATTTAATTATCCTTACTAGTTTCAAACAAATAAATAAAATAAATAAAGGTTTGTAAGCTTTACATTGGGCGTGGCTCTTCTATGCTAAGACCTATATACAGTCGTTTCTCCAATCAGCATCTATGCCCGCTGCACTGAAAGAAGCAATGATCAAACCGAAGCTGCAGAAGGACAACCTGGACTCTGAGGATTATTCAAACTTTAGACCTATCTCAAATCTGAAGGTTGTATCTAAGATAATTGAAAAGGCAGTATCTTGTCAAT